ATGCAATTAGGGCGTATCAAAATGGTGTTTTCCTTTTGTAATACTTACTCAGGCTGTAAGTTAAGGCTTTTAGTGAAATATTGTACATATATATCTATTTATACAACAATATATACGARATCTATAAACAGCAAAACATGCTACTTATCCGTAACCTTTCTTTTAAGCATTTGAACTTAATGTTATTTAATAACCTATTGTCGGCATAGTATAATCACAGAATAAAGTATAAATAATACTACAATAATTAATAGGTACTATACAGTATACACTATACAATAGTTAAAATAGTATAATACACTATGAATTATAATATTTCCATCATAGGCGCAAATAGGGGGGGAGCTTAGGGGGTAAACCACCCTCAATTAATGATCGTGCTTATGTACCAAAAACTTCTTTTTTTCAAAAAAAAAAACTAAAATGACAAAATGCATAGCATAAGCACCCTTAGTTTTTTTTATTGAAATTGCGCCTATGATGTCCATACTCTGTTCAACGTTCAACTAAAGAAACGTAGTCGACGGTGACCGATTTTTGCCAGTCGGCTGCAGTCAGGCAACACCTGCTTGTCATCTATCACATACCCAATCAAATGTCAATTATTTGTAAATATAAAAAAAAAAAAAACAACCGGGTTCACCAGACAGGTACTACTTGTATTTCCTAAWTTTGATAATAGGCAAATTTGCTTTATATTAAACATACTTGAATTAAATAGATTATTTAAAACGTACATAGGTATAATATAGGTAAAATTTGGTATATTATTATACTTTATGCCGTCTGTAAGACACAGAAAACGCATAAAGATGAATTTACTTAACTAGTAGTGGACTGAAATTTATTATTTTACCWTATATACATTTTCGGAAAAAAAGTTCTACCCAAATCTATTAAACATATTATAGTTGTAAGGTAAAGTAAAAAAATTTAAATAAAAGTTTATATTGGCGTTAGTACAACTGCTGTGTTTAAAAATGTTGAAATTTGGATAAAAAAAAATAGTTGACAAGTTAAAATAACGATACATATTACATATCTTTTTACGATTTTTTGGAATTCCAAATTATCAAAGCATAATCATAAAAAAGCCAACGTACATGAGATACAACCTGCCTAGTAGRTATAMTGACTTAATAATATGCAATAATTTAACATTAACTGAAGTCTGCACATTATTTGCACATCATATTACGTATACGGATTAAAAATATTTAAATATGAATAATAATAAAAGCAGTATTCACACGGTGCAGCACATTCTATTATTATTCATCAAATATTATAAATAAATATACCAAGGTACCAAACTGCACGAGTATTAGCGACCATTCCAATTATTTGTACAAATTCTCTATTTATACTCGGAGAGACGACTATATATTGTGTAGRCAAATCCGTAATGCTGTAGAATCCAAAAGGGTTACCGCTATTACACACCATTATGATTGTTATTTTAATGCGTATAATATKACGTATTGTAGTAATGTTGTTCGCGTTGACACGCTGTGAAGTCAAAACGCGTGTGCAGACAGACYGACGCTGACGGTCAATTATACACGATGTCCCGCTGACATTGTTCCCATTATAAACACCCTGTGGCACACGCGACTTACAAATTATTTTGATTATTATTAAAACGAAACGGCTCTCTTATTCGATTTCTCCCACGGCCCACGCGGAGTCTGTATGTGCGTGTGTATTTTTTTTTTGTTTTTCTACACAATAATAATAAGCTATGCGTACCAATTAAGAAAAAAAGTACGACCATATAATATATTATTACATTGCTATATTTAATTTTCAGTGATTGTAATAGACAAATCGTTTGGGATGTTTAGGTGGATGGGTCCCAAAAGTCTTGAAAGAGAACAAGCCACGCGAGATAAACATTTTATGGTCATGCTGGGCATCATCCCTAGAATTTTATAAATTTGTTTTC